CACCCTCCCACATGCCCTTCCAGGGGTGGGCAAACTTTTTGACTCGAGGGCCACAATGGGTTCTTAAACTGGACCGGAGGGCCGGAACAAAAGCATGGATGGAGTGTTTGTGTGAACTAATATAAATTCAAAGTAAACATCATTACATAAAAGGGTACCGTCTTTTTTTTTCAATAGTTTTATTCATTTCAAACGGCTGCCCTAATTCCTCCCTCACCTCTGCAAGGCTCTTGCAGAGTTAAGGATGTTTTGACTGTATCAGATTTTTCAGGTCATTGCCAGTAAGTTTGCAGTTTCGACACAGGACTTGAAGATCCATACCCAGGTGGTGAATGCCCAGTGGAGAGCAGGTAGAGGACTCGCATTTAGCCATGCCTCTTCCTAGTATTTGTGACCTTGAGCAAGTTTCTTAACCTCTCTGAGCTTCAGTGTCTTCATGAACGAAATGAGTTTTATAGTAGTTTCCATTTCATCTCCCTCCCAAGGATGCTGTGAAAGTTAAGTGGGATAATGAATCTGGGAGTGTTTTGTAAACCGTGAATTGCTATACATTATGTGAGGGACAATCTTTGTTCTATTGAGCAAGGAGTCCTGGGGCTTCTAGTGTAGGGCTACTATGGACAACAGATCCTCTGCATCCTATACTCTCCCTGTAATGTTCCCCCCTCCCCCACCTCCTGTAATGCCTGCTCATCCCTCAAGACACCGATGGTTTATCAATTCAGCACCTTCTTTCTTTGCAGGACCAGTACCTTCACCTTCTCTTGGGATCTTCCCCTTCACCTCTACAACCATTTGGTTCCAGAAGGAGCTGCCATATTCTCATGTGATCCTACCTCCTGCCTATAGGTTGGGCACCTGGCCCAAGTCAGGCCAATCAAAAGCCTTTCCCAAGACTTGCTCCGTCCCAGGACTTGGCAAACAAAAATTGAGAAGAGAGGCCAAGATCTCTAGCTGACAGTAGAAGCTGTAAGCTGTCAGTAACCATATTTCCTTCCCACCATGCAGAGGATGTGGTCTGTGGTGAAGAAACATGAAGTGTGCATACAGGGAGAAGCTGAGACAAGAGACGGCCAGAGGACCCTCGCAGGGTTTGGGCCCCTGGTTCTGGTTGTATCTGAGGTCCTGCCGCACATCTGCGTCTCTCACACATTGACTGTTCACCTTTCCTTGACATGCTGTACGTGTCACTTCTGCTGGATCTAGTCTGAATTACATTTCTGTCACTTGTAGCCCAAAGATCCAAGACTAAGTCAAGGCCCCAGCCCCAAAGTCACCCACTATGTAAAGTTCTCCCTGGTGCCCAGACATTGCAGATATCTTCCCAGGTGTGCTTCCACCACACCTGGTTCATGCCAGCCCAAACCACAAGAAGTGATGCAGCCATGCTATTATTGCTGCTGGTATTATTTTCCCACCATGGGCACAGTGGAAAGAACACAGGCTTCACTGGGTCCTAAACCTATTGGTGCCACTTATTAGCTGTGTGACCTTGGCAAGGTTCCTAAACGTCTCTGGATCTCACTTTTCTCATCAGCAAAATGGGGGTGCTGATACTTTCCTTGAAGGGCTTTGTGAGATTTTAATAAGATAATGTAGTAGAGTGACTAGCAGAGTTCCAGGCACTTGGTAAATGGAGATTTTCTTCTGTTTCACCCATTTTCCATTTGAGAAAGTGAGGCACCAACAGGTGAAAGAATTTTTACATAGAGAGTTAGAATCAATGCTGGTCCTCAAGTTCCATAAGGCCCAGGGATAGGCAAAGCAGTCAAGAAGTTTCCACCCACACATGAAAAGATACCCAACATCAGGCGTTTTAAGGGGAATGCAAATCAGAACCACAATGAGTATCACTTCACACACACGAGGGTGACTAGAAAAAAAGGTAATAACAAGCGTTGACAAAGAGGAGGAGATATTGAAACTTTTTAAAAATGCTCATCCGAAGATATGTTTATTCATTTGAGAGAGAGAGAGGAACAGGGGGAGAGAGAGAGAGAGAGAGAGAGACTTTGCAGGGAGGCAGGTAAGAGACACTGTCCTAATCTTCTTTCCACAAACTAGAGAAACATCCATTAGTTGTCTCACATACATGCACTGGGATCAAATCCGCAACCTAGGTATGTTCCTTGACCGGGAATCAAACCTGCAACCTTCTGGTGTATGAGACAATGCTCCAACTAACTGAGCCACCCAGTCAGGGCTGAAACTGAAACTTCTGTACACTGCTGGAGGGAATGCAAACTGGTGCAGCCACTTTGGGAAACAGTCTGATGAGGTTCCTCAAGGAGTTAAACATGTATGACCCAACAATTCCACTCCTAGGTATAACATACATGCACTGGGATCAAATCCTAGGTATGTTCCTTGACCAGGAATCTAACCTGCAATCATTTGGTGTATGAGACAATGCTCCAACTAACTGAGCCACCCAGCCAGGGCTGAAATTGAAACTTCTGTACACTGCTGGAGGGAATGCAAAATGGTGCAGCCACTTTGGGAAACAGTCTGATGAGGTTCCTCAAGGAGTTAAACATGTATGACCCAACAATTCCACTCCTAGGTATATACCCAAGAGAACTGAAAAGACACACCCACACAAAAACTTGTACACGTATGTCCATGCAGTACTATTCATAACAGTCAAAGAGTAGAAACAACTCAAATGTCCATCAACTTATGAATGGATAAACAAAATGTATCATTGGAATGTTAAGCAGCCATAAAAAGGAATGAAATTCTGATACACACACTGCAATGTGGACCCTTGAAAGCACTGTGTTAAGTGAGAGAAGCCAAATAGAAGCTGGTTAACTCTCTCCCACATAATATGTGATTTCATTTATATGAAATGTCCAGAATAGGCAAATCTATAGATACAGAAAGTACACCATTGGTTGCCAGGTTTGGGGGATGGGGGTAGAGGCGTGTTGCTAATTGGCACAGGGTTTCTTTTTGAGGTGATAAAACTGTACTGGAATTAGAGTGGCAATGGCTGCATAACCTTGTGAATATATGAATTGTATACTTTAAATGGGTGAATTTTATAAATTATCTCAATGTTTTTAAAAAAGAAAGGAAGGAAGAAAGGAAGGAAGGAATTTTTTTAAAAAGGAAGGAAGGAAGGAAGTTCCATTCGGGAAGCAGCCGTTTGTCAGTGTAGTTGACATGCCATCAGATGGGGTGACCCTGAGCACAACAGCAGCATAAGTGTGGGCACCATCGCAGTACTAACCTGCTCCTAGGATAGCTGGAGGAGTTCCATTGGGGAAGCAGCCCTTTGTCAGTGTAGTTGACATGCCACCAGATGGCATAAGTGTGGGCACCATTGCAGTACTAACCTGCTCCTAGGATAGCTGGAGGTCCTGGTGGCCCTGGGGGTCCCGGTGGCCCAGGAGAACCAGGTCTTCCAAAGCCAGGTGGCCCAGGTAGGCCAGGAACACCTGGGGGTCCCTGGGGCCCAACGATAGTCTCCCCTTTCTGACCCTGTGAAGGCAATGGCACAGGAACAGAAGAGAGAAAGCACCATTAACCACTAGAAATCCCCCCTATTCTTTTTAAGAGGACATTTGTTAAGTAGACAATAAATACTAGCTATTGTCAACATTATCCTCAATCTTGGGCACAACTCAAGTGGTGAATGCCCTCACTGTGTTGAATGACACTCCCGAGTACACCAGAGAGCCTCAAACTAGAAGATCATCTAGCCTAGCCTTTTCAGTTCACAGATAAAGAAGCTGAGACCTAGATTGAGGACAAGACTTTACCAAAGCAAACGGAAGCGGATCTGGAAATGGAACCCTGGACTCCTGGCTTTGCTGAGTCTGCCCTCATGGCAAGCTCTGGGACCAGAGTTTGCTTATGGTCCCTGAGGGTCAGTGATCTCATCATACTCTTATTAGAGGCATAACTCGATTTCCTCTTTTGTGTCCTTGAGAAACTTGTTAGCCCAAGAAGATCAAGCCCATCTAAGAGCTTCCTCTTTGATGAAATTTCAAAAGAATGAAATCGCCCCGCTGAAAAATGCCTCCCTCACCTTCCATTCTGTCTCCACTATCTGATGTGTTCACTATTAACATCTCTTCATATTCAGCAATTTCCCACCATTAACACGAACAAGGCAGCTCAGTTAGAGACCTGGAAGTAACTTGAATGCTTATGGCCTTGGCCGGCTCCCTGTCCTCTGTGGGCCTCAGCCAAGTCCGCCTCAGTCAACAAGAGGCTGATGCCCAAGTCCCACCTCAGCTTGTGGCTAACGACTGACTCTTGACTCTCCAACTGCCTAGTCACACTGGGGGGTTTCAGGGAAAGCGGTGACTTGACAAGGAAGGTGGCGTGGAGGGGTCACTACTCACAGCCAGGCCTGGACTTCCTGGCCGGCCTGGAGGTCCTGACACAGAGAAGTCGCCGATAGAGTCTCCTTTTTCTCCTTTAAACCCCCTGTCTCCATTCTCCCCCTGGAAGCAGAGAACATTCAAGGAACATTTAGTACGAGTAGGAAGAACCAGTCTCTGACATACACCTGAGAACTTGGAAACACAGGCCCAAATTTAAGAGACAAATACTCACCTTCAAGCTGTTTATAAAATGCCTTAGGTAAGCTGGATCCATTGGAGGGCCTGCAAAAGAAACGCCTCATAAGATTCGCAATCACAATCTCAGAAATTTAAAAAGAAAAGGCGCCACGTTGGCACCCATGATTACTTCCTAGTGGAAGTGACTCTGCATGGATTTAGCTAACAGAGTGGGCACTGGGCTTGAAGGCCGAAACAGTCCTGGCCTGGATCCCCGCCCCAGGCACTGTGGGAACTTGGCACATCCCTTTAGGCCCCATTTGGCATATGAAGCATGAATAATAGGAACTTCTAGTCTCTCCTGACAATGTTCCATCTTGGACATGTCACCCACGACTGGGTCTCTCTTGAACTCTGTGCAGCTTGCGGTCAGGGTGGTTATGGAATTAGTCTTATTTTCTGGCTCAGTTGGATTTCTCAGGGACAACAATCAAAGGCAAGATCTAGCCCAAGAGTTGAAATACCTGGTGGTCCCTGGGCCCCCTGGTCGCCTTTTTCTCCTTTGGAGCCTGGAAGACCCCAGGTTCCTTTTTCTCCTTTAACACCTGCCACCAAATACACATACATTAAAAAAAAGTGGAAAATTATCTTCATTTTATATAAAACATTTTTGAGACAAGTTTTTCAAATTGAGCCCCTTTCGCAAAGTCCACTCAACGAACAAAGGCCTATTAAGAGTGTAAGATCCTTCTCTGACTGATGGTGAAGACAGAGGCAGACACAGCAGACCTTGAAAGGCGTGGTCTCGGGGAGACAGACACAGTGAAGCGTAATGGGAGGCAGGATGGGCAATGGAATGTGCCATCATGAAGACACCAGCAGTGCATCATGGGAGCCCAGCAGAAGCTGGTTAACTCTCTCCCACAGCTTCACACACATGCCCAAGGCTCCACACCAAGTCAGGCCTGCAGCCTCCCCTCGCCTATGCCAGTGCAGCACGGTGGTGTCAGGGGATGACAGAGTTGAGAGATGCCAACTGTGCGACCCCCTACTCCCCGCAGGGCTTGTGAGAAGCACCCTTTCTGCAGAACTGGCATCACAGGCAACCCCTTCCCTCAACTCTTTAGAAGGGGGAGAGGCATGAGCTCCTTCTGGGAGTTCAGCATTTAGGAAAAGAAGTGACCCCTCCCCCCACCTCGATGAGTTGTGGACACTACATTGTTGAATTCCTGGTTCCCAAGAGGTCTGAGATCAACTGACTGCCACCCTTGAACCTAGAGACAGGCACACAGCATAGATGAAGTTTGGCTCAGTTTCCCAGCGTGAGGGTGGGGGACGGGAAGAATGTTATCAGGGGCATGATGCTGCCTGCTGGGGGTCAGTGGGAGAGGCAGTCACACCCGGCCAGGCCTCACTGATTAGGGAGCGGGGCTGAGGCCAGGACCTGGGAGCCTCCACCGGACCACAGGGAGACCACAGACAGCAGGCTGCCCCGAGAAGAGGACAGCCAGCTCACCACTGCCCATGTGGCTGCTCATGGGGGGAGCAGGGTAGACCCACAGTAAGAGGGAGGACAACCGGCCCACTAGGGCCTGCATCTGGACAAGTCTGCTCCCTCCCCTTCCGCCCAGAGAAACCCTGTGAGGAAGGGGAAGCACTGGGGATCTGAGAAAGTAAATCCACATCCACCCGTCCTCCCCAAGGCCCACCTTGCAGCAGGAGGAAGGGAAAGCCTTGAACTGGATCTGAGCATGGAGTCTGAAAACAGCCTGGACTTTGTAACCAAAGTGACAGAGAGCCACGGGACCAGACATCACCAGGAAGACCACCACCTGGTGGGCTAAGAGTGACAGAGCCCAGCCACAGGTCAGTATTGGAAAGAAAAAAAAGCTTCCCCTGTTTAAACAGCAAGTGTTCAGAATTCTCAATCAAAAGGGGGACACAGTGGTGTGTGCGGACAGAGGACCAGACTGAGCGCTCACCTGCGTGCTCAGTTTCCGGAACTTTCCCACTCTCTGTGTGGTAGATGAGCTCTCACAGGCCTTGAACTTGCTCATCAAATGCTCAGAGCCAGAGCTTCTCATACTCTACAGTGCTGCACCCCAGCAGGGCGCTTGTTAAAATGCAGCTTTGACTCAGCAGGTCCGCAGGGAGGCCGAGGGCCCTGCATTTCTAACAAGCTCCTAGGAGATGAAGGTGCTGCTGGTCCAAGAACACTCTGCAGCAAAGGTTTTCTGGGCTCTCCTGGCCCTGCCCTGTACTAGCTCTTGATAGACTGCATTGTGGTGATTTTTAAACTACTCTCACCTAACAGTGCCTACGGGCCTGGGTGGCAGGAATGGTGGAGGAGTCACCTGTCTCAGCCCAGTGCGTGGGACAGCACCAAGCAAGGAGGATTCAGTGGATGCTTTATGAATAAACTAACAAATGGACAAATGGAGCGCTTCCTGCTAACTAGGAGTCTCAGCCAAGATGTGTAGGATAAACAGATGGGTGACAGAACCAAACAGAAATGCCCCATCCCACAGCCTTTGCTCAGCTGTGAGCCCCTCCTAACACATACTAGAGCAGCCAGTTCTTCCTGGCCACTGAGTCTTTGCCCATGGGCAGATAAAAACTATGCCAGCAGAGGCACGGGGGTCTGGAAATATCCCAGAGAAATGTTAAGGTGAAGGAGGGAGTGTGTACCGTGAAAGGTGATGAGTTCTGAATTCCCAGGATGAGCCGCACCAACCTGGAGAGAGAAAGGCAAAGTCACACATGTGAACCCTGTCCTGGTGTTTGCATGCACAGGTAGCCACTGTGCCCTGCTCCGGGGGAGTGTGTGGCAGGAGGAGCGACGTCATGGCGTCAGGCCTCCTGGCCAAACAACTCTGCAAAGGGGAAGCCCAAAGATTTAAGACAATAAATGGCAGCAGGGTTGGTTTGGCCAACCATTATTGTTGGCCTCCCCCGCCCCCCCCTTTTTTTTAATCAATGAATTGATTCACGTGAGAGGTCAAGCTAGTGATGTACCCAGTCATGAAGCTGGGATGCCATTAGTTTGGCTACTGTGTATGGCCAGGAATGAGCATAATGAACAGGAACTGAGGGTGGTGGTAATCAACAACGGGGGGATTATCATTAGGCTGGGAGGGCTATTCTGGACTCCATATTAAGTGCCTGGGGTCTGGAGTCCAAGCTGTTCCCAGTTCACTCCCAGATTCCTGCATTTCTTTACCTATTAGAACAGAGCCGCTTGCCACCATGCTTTTAATAATCTGTCTTCACTTTTTTCGCAGTTGATATGTGGAATCAGAATGACTCCCTAGTGCCAGGATTCCCCTAAGCTTTTGGGTGGTGGGTCACAAACTGCTCAGGGGTCACTGATAGAAGATGGGGGAAGGGAAGGGAGGGGACTCTTTATGGGAAAACATTTCTAGGTTAAGGATGAAAGCCCCAGCACCAAGCTGATATCTTGTGGTTTTGCTGGTAAAGTCCCTCCACTCCAGGCATGAGCTGTAAATTGTGATGGTTGGGAAGGGGCTGTATTTCAAAGGGGTTTGTGCAATGCTGGGTGTGAAAGGAAGCATTTCTCTTTCAAGTGTCCATTTTGAGAGCTGGTCAAGGAATGTCGCTGGCCCAGCCTCCGTGGTGTCCAGCAGCATGAAATAAAAACACTCTGCAAACGTGCTCTGATCTCCTCTTTGGCTTCTTTTAAGTAATGTCTAGACCGCCACAGGCCATGTTTACTAAAAAGGGTCCTAGTCCAGGTCATGGTCATTGCAGTCGCATTTTTATGATACTTTCAAGTGTGTCAAGTACTGTCCCATGGTTAGTCCATTCGAAACCTGGAATTGTGTTATCTGAGAGGCCCTCTAGGCACTAACTCAGTCTCCCCTTCTGTACCATAGGAGGTGGGGTGCAGCCACACTCCGGAGGGCTCCTCCAACACTGATGTGTTATGTTTCTGTTCAGTCTATCAGCGTAAACATGACCTGGTGTGCTGTTGTCCGCACATAGATCTGGGCCCCGTGGTCGCCTTACACAGGTGGGTCCTGTCCTCTGTCTCCCAGGCAGAGTTCCCAGGTCCTGGGCTGCAGACTTGGGTGCCTCAAAGTTTAGACATGGACAATGTCTAGGCAAACACACCGTGAAGCTGCATCATGTTAGAGCCTTTGATCCAAGCCTTCTCACCACCTCAACAGGCATCAATTATGAACCCACTTTAAGGAATCTTAAAAATTTTAATTAATTTCTTTAAGGAATCTTTCTAAATTGTCATTTGCAAGCTCCTGAGAACAGAGGCCATCCCTGTGTAGTTCACCCCTGTGTCCTCGGGGCCTAGTGGGGTACTTAGCATTTGGTAAGTACTCAGTTAATATGTTGAATGATCAAGAGAATGATTACGCACAGTTCCATGACTAATGTTTGTGCATAGAGGCCCACCTTCCTGGGTTTCCCCACAAAAACGGGATTCTCCCAATACTGCTGAGACCTCAGGGACAGTGCCACTGACTACCTGGGTGGCCAGTCACGTGCCTGATCCCCTGGGTCACAGTGCCTGCACCTGCTGCCTGGTGGTCAGGGGAAGTGAGTAACAGTTCCAGATCTGTCAGTCCTGTGACCTTGAATAAGTCAGTGAGCTCGTCTGAGTCAGTTTGCCTCCTCGTTATAAAAGAGAGAGAGAATGCTGCCTCTCAGGTGGTGTGCTGTGTGGTAATATCACAACTGGAAAAGGACAGCACACGGTCAGTTAGAGATTTTGGCCCAGAGTTCCCAATGCAAAGAGCCTGACTGAATTGCTTATTTTCTTGTCTATATTTTTAAGATGTCTATTTCCCCCTATCATACTGCTCTAAGCATGAATTTAATATGGTTATGATAACAAAAGATACTGCCTTTTTATTGCGCTAAAGAAACACTGTGTACCCTTAGAAGACCCTGTATGTTTCATTGCCACAGTCTGTTATCTAGAAGCTTCTGGTCACTTAAGGGTCTATATGTAAGTGATACAAGACATCAAAGAGGACACTGATGGGTAAAAAGGGCTCAAGACAAAGACCGATCATCTCTGAGTTGCTTTCTGTGCCAAAGTCGGCTCTTTTATGACAGTGACCATATGCTACTTACTGGTATCTTGCAGTGTGGCCGGGCTGGTATGGGGAAGACAGCCTGTGGGAAGTGAGGACAAGAGATGTGAGGCCATGGGGACATCTGACTTGGGCTTAGGTCAGCTTGGTGCCCACTCCCCCCTGAAGGTCTCTCCCCCACCCCACCCCCACTTACTCCTTTGATGTTAATCACTGCTCCCGGTGGTCCAGGGGGGCCTGGAGGACCAGGTACGCCAGGTGGGCCCTGAGGAAGAAAGGCCATTCCTGAGTTCAGGTTGTTGTGAGTGCAGAGGCAGCTGCAGGATATTTCCCCCAGGTTTGGGGGACACAATGAGGAACGGAGGGCCCTCTAAAGCCAACTAATTTATCCCATAGTTAAGCCAGTCCCATCTACAGAGCACGTCTATATAGTTGACCTCATTGCATCTTCACAACAACCCATGGGGAAGACGGCAGAGCAACAAGTATTATCTCTGGCTTACAGATGGATGATGAGGTCCAGAGAGGGGAAGTGACCTGCTCAAGGGCACACAGCAACTTATGGCAGAACTGAGATCGGAACCCAGATTCTGACTCCAAGAGCCATGCTCAGCTGATACCGAGTCCACCACCTCTCTATCAGCACATCCCTAGTGTGGAGCGACAAGTGAGGTGGGGTGGGAGTGGGGGGAGGGTGGTCCTTCATGTGCTGTGGTACCTCAGAGAGTGCCTCATAAATGCAAAAATAAATGCACAGCTCTTGCTGGGTAGCACAGTTATTTTCAAAGCCAGGTCATCCTGGCCTGAACACCATGCAGTGTTTGCTCCTCTAAGCCTGGATCCCAAGCAGGATGTCTCAGCAGGAGGGCCAGGCTCCGACCCAGGCATGAGGCACCCAGCCCACTCTGAAGCTGCACGGATCTCCTAAGGGCAGGCATCGGTGTCTGCTTTTCCTAGTAGCCCAGCAGGCTTGATGGCTATGCGTTACCTCCCCGGTGCTTCAGTAAAGCTGTTTGTCTGGGTTTCTGGACATACAAAGCAGAGGCAGCGTGGTGCAAACAGAAGCAGCAACGGACTTAGAGCTGCATTTGCCCCTTAGCTCGGTGGCCTTCAGTGAGTCACTTAACTCCTACAGGCCCCTGTTTCCTCTTGTGCAAAACAAGGACCCCACCTAGTGTCTCTTAGGATAGTTATTACCAAGACTGAGATAATATCCCCAAGAGCTCATGGTACACAGTAGGTGCTCAATACACTTTGGCTTCCTTATTCTAGACCAGTGGTTCTCAACCTTCCTAATGCCGCGACCCTTTAATACAGTTCCTCATGTTGTGGTGACCCCCAATTTCATTGTTACAAATTGAACATAATTAAAGCATAGTGATTAACCACAAAAACAGTATGTGATTATATATGTGTTTTCTGATGGTTTTAGGCAACCCCTGTGAAAGGGTTGTTTGACCCCCAAAGGGGTCACAACCCACAGGTTGAGAACCGCTGTTCTAGACCCTTGTCCCCTGCTGAGCCTCCACTGCCTGCCATGGAGTGAGGCCCCACCTAAGTGGCTGATCTACCTTTGTTATTCACTCACAAGCATTTATGGAGTCCCTGGTAATGTGCAAAGCCCCTGGGACCAGGTATCTCCCAAATCAGAAGACCTGGGATTTGAAACCAGGTTTCCTGAGCACGTGCATATGGCAGTCTCCCACCTCCCTCTGGGGTCTGGACAAGGAAGCTTATGCTCCATTGAGGCTTTGGTGGGAGGAACCCTGAGAGTGAGCTGGAGGACAGAGTTGGGCTGAGGACGTTTGGAAGTGGCAGTGGAAGAAGAAGAAAAACATTTCTGAACATTATGTCCACAAGCCTTGCTCACTGGACCTGACACTCTCTCCTCTGGACACTGGCCTTGGGGGCTCTGTCCCCGGGGTGGTGTGGGGCTGGAGCGAGGGCTGTGGCACTCACCGGCATCATGACCCCTCGGTCTCCTTTGGCACCCTTGAAGCCATTCAGTCCTGGGCGACCCTGAAACCCATAGAAGACGCCTTAGTAAAACCACTGCCCACCGGCCAGCCTGGCCCACGTGTCCTCTCTCACGTCCAGTCCAAGGAACACCAACACCTACAGGTCGTCCAGGGAGGCCAAATTCTCCTTTGTGTCCTGGCGGTCCTTTGGGTCCCTAGAGGCAAAACAAATACCAACCACATCAGAAAAGAACAGAAACTCAATGGCCAGGGAGATGGGGGGCACCCCACCTGCCATTGTGGGCAGTGGTGACAGTGAACCACCGACGGGAGGAAGGAGGGCCAGGAGCAAGTATGAGGTATCCACCTGCCTGCTCCTTGTCTCCCAGCCTCTCTGTGCTCAGCTGGAAGCACATGCTCAACCCATCACCGCCCCACACCCTCCTGTAAGCTCTACCCCACCCAGTCTCTGCATCCAACCTTCTCAGACAGTCAGGCTAATGAAGGAACCCAGGTAGCCAGACACTGTCCAGCTCAGAACGTGGACCTTTGCCCTAGGTCTTATGTCCCAGGGCTCTCCATGGCCCCCATTGGAACAATGCAGCCCTGCCTCGCCCCTCATTGTAGCCCGTCCTGATAACCTGCTCCAGTACCTGGTTTCTGCCTTGTTCCTACCTGTCTCTAAGGACCAGAACCTTGGCCTGGCACCCCAATTCTCCTGCACCCCATTTATTCCAGGGCTGGCTTTCTATGTCCACATGCTTCCAGAGCCACCGCCCTGTTCTAACCTCCTGCAGGAACCTTCATGCCTCTGACATACGGGTGCCCGCAATGCACCACCTCTTCCCAGAACAAGCCCTACCTCCAGGCCACACCTTCCCACCCCTGCAGCCAGTTTGCCCTGTCTCCGGGAGAATGACTGGAGTAAGCCTGGGGCCCATCTTCCTGCTGCATTAACACAGATAGTCATGCCCCGGAAAATAGCAATTAAAGACTGAGTTGAAACAGGCCCTGTGTATAAAGCACCCAGCCCAAGTTACTCTCAGGGAAAGAAAAGCAAGGGCAGAGGAGTTAACAAGACACGGGACACCAGGTGGTATGTTCTAGCGCAGAGCTCCTCAAACATCACTGTGCATCGGTGTCACCTGGGATCTTATGGAAATGCAGATCCTGTAGGTCTGGGGTGGGGCCTGAAGCGCTGCATTTCTACCGAGCTCCCAGCTGCTGCTGGTGCTGCCGATCCATGGGCCATGGGTAACAGGGCTCTAGTGAGTTTGTAAGGGAACTCTAAGCTACACTAGTCGCAAGGGCCACAGCTGGGCCACAGCTGGCCCACGTGGCACCTTTATGCAAGTTAGAAGAAGAAGGTGCCCCCTTACTGTCTGTGCTTGGCAAGCTGTGCATAAGCTGGACTTGGTGGGAACAACTTCCTTGGTCACCTGCTGCAGGCTGTGGCCAGCATTGCTAACTATAGGTTTCCCACAGTACTGGACGTTAGTTAAGTGGTTAATCAGTAACACATGGCTCTCCCAGTCTGCCTTAGCCTTTAGCCACCCCTCTCCAGAGCATCCGTTCTGCCTGGTGTGAGGGACCAAGGCCTCAGAAGGCCCTGTGAAGAAATGCACTGTGGATGTTATGGGCTATTCATCAAGGATATATGTCTGTTAGAGCAATGTAGGTCCTTTCTCCCCAGGCCTCAGATCCAGCTTCAGCCAAAACAAAAAACAAAACAAAAACCAGCCTGAAAGGTCTCAGAAGAATGAATG